AGAATGGCAGAAATATATTTAAAGTCTTTTTTTTAATTATTGGAAATTCTCTCCTAACACCAAACTAAAATTATTTTTTTTTTTTTTTTTTTTGTATTTTTGAGACAGGGGTCTCCCTGTAGCCCCAGCTGGCCTGGAACTCCATATATAGACCAGACTGGCCCCAAACTCACAGAGATCCACCTGTCTCTGCCTCCCAAGTATGTGGGTTACAAAGCCTGGCTGATAATGTCTTTTTAAAACAGAGCTTTGGGCCATGCATGGTTGCTCTAGTCCCAGGACTTGGGAGGCTGAAGCAGGAAAGTGATGTCAGTCCAGGCCAGCATGGGCTGCAAAGTGAGCTTGAGGCTAGCCTAGAATAAACAGAAAGACCCTGAAAAAAAAAAAAAAAAAAAAAAAAAAGAAAAGCTTGGTATCAAATATGGTGGGTAGCATATGCTGGTAACACTAAATTTTAGGAGATTGTAATAGGACTGTGCGTTGGAGGATAGCATTAGCTACATAACAAGGTACCATCTCACTCTCGCCAAGATTTTTGCTAATATTTTTTATTTTTTATTTTTATTTTATTTTATTTTTTTGGTCTTTTTGAAACAGGGTCTCCCTGTAGCCCCAGCTGTCCTGGAACTGGCTATGTAGACCAGACTGGCCTTGAGTTTACAGAGACCCACTTGCCTCTGTCTCCCAAGTGCTGGGATTAAAGGCATATGCCACCACACCAGGCCTGCCTGGCTATTTTTTAATTTTTTTAATGTGTGTGTGTGTCTATGTGTATGTGCACAAAGCTCTGGGTGCCCCAAGAGGCCAGAGGAGGGCATTGGATCCCCTGGATCTGGAGTTGCAGGCAATTGTGAGCCCCCTGATGGGGGTGCTGAGAACCAAACTCAGGTCCCCTGCAAGACCAGCAAGTGCTCTTAACCACTGAGCCATCTCTCCAGCCCTCACCCCAGGGCTTTTTAAAAATTGTTATTTACTACATGTTAAAGAGAAACTAGGGGGCTGGAGAGATGGCTCAGAGGTTAAGAGCACTGGCTGCTCTTGCAGAGGACCTGGGTTCAATTCCCAGCACCCACGTGGTGGCTAACAACCATCCTGCACAACATGAATGCACCAACCTACATGTGAGCAATACACTCATACACATAAAATAAAAATAATAAATAAAAAAGTTTTCTTGGTCTTTTTGAGACAGGGTCTACCTGTAGCCCCAACCGACCTAGAACTCACTATGTAGACCAGGCTGGCCTTGAACTCACAGAGATCTGGCCGTATCTGCCCCCAGACCACTGGGACTAAAGGCATGTGCAACCAGGCCTAGCCAATGAAATAGCAACATAAACCTTTTATAAGAGAAAATAGCAGCATAAACCTTTTTCCCTTTTTTTTTTTTCGCTTATGTTTTTCTTTATTTAAATTACCGATTCCACAGTGGTGACACACAACTGTAGTAGTCCGTATTTGGAGAGATAGAGGCGTGAAGATCAGAAATTCAATGTCATCTTTGGTTATTTATCAAGTTCTAGGCCAGGAATTATAGGCATGCACAATCACATCCAGATTATGCAGTACTGAAGATAGACCCCTATGCCTCATGCATGCTAGGGTAAGCATTCTACCAAACAAGCTACATTTCAAGCCCTGCTTTTATTTTTTATTTTATTTGTATTATTGGGGTGGAACCCTGGGCTTCTGCCATTCTAGAAAAGCACCAACTAAACTGTACCCCTAGCTCCTGGTTTTTGTTTTTAAAACAACAGCCTGAAAGATTAAACAAACTTCAAGGAAGAGGTACTGGCTGAAAGAAAAAATCGGTATTTTTATAGTTTTATTATTGATAACTTGCATGATTCAATTTAACAGATAGCAACAAACCAAAAACAAAACTGAAAAGACATTGGCCAGAAATTTGCATTCTAGTTCTGGATGGTTTAGCTCACTTTGTAGCCTGACCAAGATGTTCAACATCTCTGGGCCATTACTCAGCTTTGCATATTTTATTATGCTTCCTCTTGTTCTAAACTGGATTTGAAGAGGCTTTTTATCCAAGGGAAATCAAATACATGAAAGCACTTTGAAAGTTAAACCATCTTAAGAATGTAAGCATAAAACCTTTTTGTATCACCGCAGATGATTCAACTAAAGCATTGATTGGCTGCTCACTATACACAACAGTAGTAAATAGTGCATTGTGTCTTATAACCAAAATATTTTCACATACATTGATTCACATGTTTTGCATGCACTTTGAGCTTGTAAACCACAAAAGCATTATAACATAGCAAAGAGCTTGGTTTCTGGTGCTACACTGCCTAAAACTCACTTTCCTTCCTTTATTATTGTTACTGAGTTACTTAACATCTCTGAACACATCTGACCCTTAGTTTCCCCATCTGTAAAATAAATGAGCTGATACACTTAAAGGACTCACAACAGTAGCTAGCTAGGAGCTGGGTGTGATGGCACAAGCCTTTAATGGTAATATTTAGGAAACAGAGACAAACAGATTTCTGTAAGTTCAAGGCCTACATAGTGGGCATTCTGTCCATAATAGTGAGACTCTGCCTCTAAATAAATAATTTAATTTAAAAATAGAACAGTAGCTGGCACACAATAAGGGGTTAACAACATTGTTAGCTCTTTTAGGATGAATATTTTCACCCCCCATTTTAGCAGTAAGGAAAGAAGGGCTCAGGGAGGTTAAATGATTGCCACATTTGTTTTTTAAAAAAAATTTTGGGCCAGCAAGATGGCTCAGCTGGTCAAGGGGCCTGCCACAAATCTTGACATGACCTGAGTTCAATTCCCAGGCCCAAAGGTGAAAAGAGAGAATCAATTCCTACTGCTTGTCCTCTGACCTTCAGACACAAACTATGGCATGATACACACACACACACACACACACACACACGCACGCGCGCGCGCTAAAAAAAGTGATGGGTT